TTAAATCTGAATTGAGAAACCCAAATGAAATGTGAAGTTGATTCAAGCATGCAGCAGAACTTCAGCCATTATCCACAGGTATTGATCAGCACCTTCCTGAGAGCCGAGCCTGCTGGCTCTTTGAGGCTTCAGGATAAAGATGAGACAGTGTGGGACTATTTTAACCAGTAATATGCAATCAGAATGAAATAGCCACACCACAACTGATGGCAAAGCTAGCCGGAAAGGAAACCCAAAGTCCACCCCGAAGTGGACACTTCCCTGGGGTATTACCTTAGCAGTCGACTTATAGYCAACTTCTACAAAGCTGTTGAGAGCAGTAAGAAGCTTCTCCAAGCACAAGCACCAACCTTTTCAGGTGTGAAGCAGCCCACAGTCCTTCTGGGCCACAGGGACTGACTGGATCCCTGCAGGCTGTGTCTGGGATGTAAGGTTCCCTGCCAGACCCCTGGGGAGGAAGTGTCACACTCACCACTCATAGGACACCTGGCCTTCCTGTGCCCAGGGAGCCTGGGGAGCCCCCTTGTTGCTTTGAACTGTGGCACTGTGGCTTTGCAGCTCTAACAAGGACCAGGCTAAATGTGAACTGATGTTGGTACACTGTTGGAGAGAGGGCTAAATCTTGTGCCTTGCCCCCACATCCCTTACTATTTCCAGAGGTCTTATTCCTGGTGCTCCCCAGTGCCCTCTCCCCCTCTTTCCTGGGCTCTTTCCTGCTGCTGTCATCACCTCCTTGCTCACTGCACATCTCCTGGCTTCTTTACCAGGCACACACAGCAGTCAGTCCAGTCCTGGAGTGTTTGCACCTATTTAGGGCTTTCCTCAAGGAAAGATGAACCTCATGACTCAGCCCTCATGACTCCAGAGCAAAACTTTTGAGGAAAATGTCATTTATGTTAAAGCTGAGTGGCTGTTGAGCTCTCTTATTGACTATAATAGAACAGAGAAGAACTTTTCATTAAGTGCATGTTTCTGCCAGAATAACAAGCCCTTACCTGCAATCATGTGTGAAGCACAAATGTCCTAAAGGCGTCACACCTGAAGGAAAAATTCCAGACCCTTCAATAACGTATTAACATTTTTAACATACATTCAGAATGTTTAGTGCAGTAGGAAAAGCACATGTTCTGGTCTCTGGAGCCTTGGTAGTCCTGGAGAGACAAGAAGGAAGGCTGCAGCTTTCCAGCAGTGACTTCCTGGCACACATCTTTTTTTTTTTTTTTTTTTTTTTTTTTTTTTTTTTTTTAATATTAAAGCCAGGACAGAGATCAGAAAATGAGCTGCAAAGCAACAATGGCTGAGCAAAGAAATGCACTTTCTGGACCAGAGTAGTTAAGATTGTGTTCCTGGAAAGACTGACTGTAAATCTGTGAGCCAGATAAAACTGATCCTCTGCCACCCTGACTCCCTTACCTGTGCAGCTTCTCCCACAGCTGAATTGCCCAGCAGTTCAGAGATGACTGACAATTACTCTTGGCCTTTCTCCAGAAACTTTGGCTGTGAAAAGAAACAGCTAAAAAAGTATCTCTTTAAATAGGGTTTCCCATGCTGCAGGTTAGTCCTTATGTTGAGTAGAGCTGGCAAATAATCCTGCTCCAGGTGGGGAGGGATGGTACAAGGTGTTATTTTGGGAATCATCACCCACTAGGATTGACGGGCCATTAATAGTGTGTTTTTGTCTGCAGTGGAGCTGGAGAAAGGAGTGCTGGTGTTGGACAGGAAGCAGAAAAGAAAGAAGCAGAAAAGGCTTTATTGCTCTGTCCTCCCACCATGGCATCTGAGGTGCTGCACAGAGCCCTGGCTCGAGAATCCATACAGAATATAGCAAGAATAGGTGGCACCGTGACCTGCAACACTTCTCCTCCAGCTCTGCCACAGGCTTCTGGAGGCAAAGCAGCTATTTTGGCCTTGATTTTTTAATTCTTCTTATTTTAAAACCCCAGGTATCAGTTGGAGAAAGGTGCATGGGTAGAGCAAAACAACTTCAGAAAGGCACCTTACAAAGATGATTTATGTTTTCCCCTTTTTTCAATGCTTGTACCACCAGTGTGTTTCACCACCCTACAGCCCAAAAGTATGCCTGTGACACCTGGAAATAATCTGCTTAAACTGTGCCGAAGTTCAGCAAAACCAATTTGCCTGGCACAAGCAAGAGACTGGGAGCAGGAATTCTTGAAAAATGCTAATAATGTCTCAACTATTTTTCCCTTGGCTGGAAAACCATTCTGCTTTAAATAKAACGGACAGAAAGATGATGGAGAATTTTTATAGCAGTCCCTGAGCCTCAGAACATGAGCAAATTTGTTCTTTTTGTGGTGTGTCTTGGGTTGATGTTGTGCCAAACAACAAGCCCCACACGTTGGGTGCCAAATTTGTCTTGGTTTGAGACAATGTTTTCAGAGAAAAACGTTACAGAGTAAATGTTTCCTCTGAAGTGAAAAATTTGATAATGTTTTCTCACCAATATGAAGTATATGTTCGGGCAAAAATGAAGAGAAAAAAAAGTAGATTATTAACAAAACACAGTGCCCATAGGACACATAAAAAGTAACTGTTAGATATTTAAAACTCAGGAACACGYGCCGCTCACTCCCCCTACAAACTGCTTGGCCACGTGGTGTGGAGAAAAGATGGCRGCTCCCGTCCCCGGGAAAAAAAGAAACAAAAGAAAAAAAGAAAAGGTCCGTGTGGCGCGTGGGCAACAGTGGAAAAAAACAATTATAGTCCTTTCCTCACTGTGGATGAAACAGAGGGCTTGGTGTGTTTTTCTGTCACCAGCTTGGCTTCTTCCGGAGTCCAGGACAAGACAGAGTGGCGCTGCTTGTCCCCAGCAGCCACCAAATTGCTCCAGAAGCAAAATCACAGCAGCTGCAGAGGGGGTGGCAGTCCTCAGAAAATTGTTTGCCCAAACTAGCAAACCCGAGCTAGCTAAACTGCAACAATGTAACTCTACTGCACGTAGTGAGCAGGGACTCCCGCAGCACCAATGCTGAGGTCCAGAAGCCCCCAGCTGYGCAGCAGCCCTGGCTTTTAAACAGCCCGCCCCTGCCCCTTCTTCCGGATCAAATTTAAAGGCACAGAMACCTTTTGGGCATACAAGCTGATAGAATATAGGAATACAGGATTGGCACAACAGCAACCCAAGACAGGGTGACTTAGAAAACACTTTCAGCCCTTGTGTTTAGGTGAGTTTTTTACTTAGTGGAAGGGAAAAAACCTATATTACTGGCCTGTGTTTGCACTGTCAGTCTCTGTACTTCCATCGAGATGGAGACACTGAATTTGCATCCATTTTCCTCTACATTGCATTAATGTGAATGAAGTGCATTCACAGTGTGTAAATAGAGAACTTAGCACAGCAGTCCTGCTTGCATGAATAAGTCTTTTAAGCTCCTCTGCCCTTTCTGCCCCACAGCTGCATAGATAAAGAAAAGGCCTTATTATATTTGTGGTGGCTAAAATTAAGGGTCTATGCTAAACAAAATAAACTAAGCYTTCATGCTAAGCCTTGTCCTCCTATCACTTGCTTGCTGCTCCTTAAATCCCTTTGCCTAGGTTCTATTAATTTGGGGGGAGAACACTATTCTGGGAGAGTGCTAAAGCTGGAGATGTGGTTGTGTACTGACAATGGCGGGATCCTTGCCAGATATGAAGCCCAAAGGCACACAACTAATGTGCCACATCCCCCATGTTCATATAAATAGAGAGTGCTTCATCCACATTCTCTTTATAGTTACTGAGATGATGTTAAAAGGAAGAGAGAATCCGTGACAAATTTTCAGACTTGAAAACCCATCTGGTTTGAACATGGTCAGTTGGAATATAATTGTCTGGGGGTAATCTGGAAGAAGATGAAACAGTCACCCCTTGTCAATTATGTATCCATCCATTCATACAAGCATGMATCCACCCAGGTGATGGCTGACATGTTTCTTGGGAAAAAAAAAAAATAAGGAGAGGGTGAGGAAAGATTACACCACCCCAACACTGCATCCCATATGCTGCGAAATATGATTTTGCCCCTCACATGCATCTCCATTCCTCTCAAGGTATCATCCCAGTCTTGTCCACAGTCAACTGGGGCACTGTGTTTTGTACACCCCACTTTTCCCAGAGCCCTCCCAGCCCTTGCAGCCACATCAGAATTTTTCTCCTCTCCAGATGCCCCCACTTCTTCTCCCTCAGGTCCTGGCCATCACTCACCCTTCTCCTCCAAGCTTCTTTAGTCCTCCTGGCCTCCTTCCCAGTCCGGCTCCCCAGGYGTTTAATGGCCATTGTCCCCTCCCTCCCTTGTTGTCCCCTAACACTGTTCCTGCCATGGCTGGTGGAGTCACCTGGTCTGTCCCTTGGTGGACTCACAGACCCTATGTGAGAGAGTGAAATCCCTGGGTTTGGCACCATGCATCCTCCAGGCAGCTCCACAACACTATGGGCTCACCTTAGGGAAGTTTCTAGGGGATACAGAACTCGAGTGGGATACTGGAGGTCCCAAATTGCTGACACCAAACATGAGAGACCTTTTCTCTCGCTTGKCCTGACCTCCCTGCCACAGCCTGGACTCCTTTATGCTATGACAGCCCTCCCCTCAGGAAAGCACGTTGCTTTCCTTTAAGGAGTGGGAGAAATTGCAGAGCCTGGACCTCCAGCCCTGTGCCTTCAATCACCTGTGAAGGTGCTCAGGACCCCATCAGACCAGAGAGAGTAGCACAATGGAAAATTCAGTCCCTTTCTTACCATTCCAGTAATTCCTCAGGGAAARAGAGCCATCTCAGTGTATGGGTAGCCAAAGAGCCGGCATTAGGACTGGCTGAAAGGACTTCATCCTTTCTACACTTGTCCTTGCAGTAGAAATATTCCTCCTGTGCTAATGGGATTAAAAAGATGGGTACCCAGGCACTAAAAATTAAGAGAATTTGAGTTCAAAACACTGTTGAGTTTCCTTTTGAAATGGCTGTATAAACTCATATATGATTAGCATATAGAAATCAAAACTTCCACATTAGCAAACACAAAAATGGACTTGGCACTTTTTCTTRAACTAAAATGTTGTGAATATAGTGGAGTTTATTTGTAGGCCAAGGCATTATGGTAACAGAACATAGATTTTAGGGCAGGCAGTTATCTGGCATAATAATTCTGTCTTCACTCATTAACAAACATCAGTAAATGCGTGCTGTAGACACCAATATTGGGAAGTGTCGGGTACAGTGGCTTCTTTGTGAATGAATGGTCTTTCTCTGAGAACTAGACCGCTGGTAATTAATTATCTCAATGTCTTTGATCTATTTACTTTGCACATATTTCATCTGTTTTGGTTTGTTACTTGCATTTCAATGACCTCTCACATTACGGAGCAATTCCTTCTGTTGGGAAAATTGCCTTTCCCTTTCCCATGGGAGCACAGCAGTGGACTAACTGCTTCTCAGAGATGACAGGTCCATTTTTTACTTCTGTGAGCATGACTGCACTGATTTAAGGAATCTGCCCATATACAGTTGAGGAGCTCACTTTGGTCCTATGAAGCTTTTGTGTACATTTATAGCAAACTGCAAACTCTCTTTGGACTGTGAAGCTATTTCCCTGTTCCCTCAGTTTCAAAGTCTAAACGTAGACAGAAATGGCAAAGGTTCACTTTAATTAAAGATCTGTCTCCTACTCATAAAAAGCAAGATCATCTCTATTTCTAACTACTAGTTAAACACTTAATTGTATTTTACATGGCAATTACAGTCAGATGGGGTGTGTATTGATTTACCTTAGATTTTGCCAGGAGCAGTTTTATTAAGTATTACATGTTGTGAACATGAGTTTAAAAAAGGACTTCCTCTTTCTTTTATTTTTTTTCTTTCCTTTCCTTCTTTCTTTCTTTCTTACTTTTTCTTCCGTGACAGACAAAAAAAATCCATTCTGATAGCACATTCATGAAATCCGTGTCGGTTTTTTTACAGATTGTTGGGATTGGAACACCTTGGGAAGCCTCCAATTCTTTCCCTAGGCTGTTTTTTTCTGAGTATTTGGTGTTTTAACAATTTACGCCATTGCACGCATCTGTAAAAGCAGACCTGAGGAGAGACTCGCAAATATTTTATATATTTTTGGTCTCCACTCTTAAAAAAACAACATTGAAAAATGCGCAGCAAACAACCTTTAACTGGAATTACTGAAATCAAATCAGAGTTAATTTTGCATCCAAAAGCTATGGCCGAGTGCAGTTGTAGTTTTCCATAGCTCTGTCCATTCCCATACAAACCAGTACTTCATTTCAGACAAAATTAGTTCTAGGTTGATCTATACTGGAGAGATGGAGCTCAAGACAAGAAGTAAGGGTTCATTACCAGAAGACAATTATGTCTACTCATTCTTGCTAGAGAGGGACACCAGGGCTCTGCCAAGCACACTGGAGTGCAATTCACACCATATCTGGAGGCCAGGGATTCAATCTCCCCCCCTGAGTGCTGCTGTGGTTTGAATGTTGCCTGCCTCTGTGCTCCAATGTGTCACACCGTCACCAGGCATCTCTGATGTTTGCCTCCCTTCGTGGTTTTTCTTGCGGGAAGCGGGGGGGAAGATTGATTGGTTTTGCCTTCCAGGGTGATACTAGGGCATAAACAACATTTGCTCTCTTTTAGTGTTTTTATTGATTGAACAACTGCCCTTGAGCTGCACCATGAAACCAATTAATTTGTCTGAGCTAATAAAGTGTAAAACATATTGGACAAAGAGCCCAGCAGAAGGATGTTTTAATAAAATATGTTTTGCACTTGCTTTGAGCCACCATGATGCCCAGGCAGAGGAAGGAAGAAGTGGCATCCTACCAGCTCTCCCAGCTCTGGACTTGAAATGCTCGCAGAGAGCTTTGGGGTTGTCCTATCTAGCACTGCCCCACGGGTCCCTCAGCAGTACCTTGAGAGGCAGCAGCCACTGCAGCTCTAATCCCCTTTTCCTCTACTTTTTGAGCCAGGGAGTGACCAACAAGAGCAACCAAGGGCTGGAATGTCAGTGCATTATATATCTGACATGGAAGCGCAGTGCTGGCAGCATTTTAAGGCACTCTGCAAGAGGCAGCCACTGAATGACACTGTGGGAAGTATCCTGCATCCATTCATCAGTGGCTTATGCTTAGGGGACACAAATGCCTTGCCCAGAGTCACAGAAAGATAAATTGGGGCTTAAAGAGGATGAGATTTTGTCTTGCAGACCCCAGCAATCAGACTAACAGCAGGCAACCTTTCAAAGTCCTGTACCATGCTGGCATTTTCAAYGTTAGAGATTATGTGCACTGGGAGAAACTCAGCAGGAGCTAGGAGGGTGGCTGCCAGTCCCCTTTTGGCAGGACCCAGYCTCCTCAACAGCAAGACCTCAGAGCCCCTTATACACGATTCTCTGAAGATGCCAGTGCCCCATCCCTGCCTTGCAGTTACTCTGCTCTTTCGCCATGATCATGTGCTTCCCACATTAGACCTTTTTCCATTGAAAGGAAAATTCAGAAGCTGCTTTCCTAGAAGAAGAATACAGCTGTGCAAAGAGGAAATCTCATCCCTCTGGGTCCCGAGTTCAGGACTCAGAGAACATTTTGTGTCTCTTCCAGGAAAACAGAAATCGCTGTTTATTGCAAATGCTTTCCTTTTACACTCATTCTCTTTCACCAGTTACAAAAATCCTATCTAAAGTTTAATATAAGACCTCAGCTTGAAATCAGTCTTCCTTTTTTTTTTTTTTTTTTTTTTTTTTATTTCAGCTTAAGACAAGTCTTCCTATCAGTCTTCGTTTTTTAAGAAAAACTCAGGGCCTTGCAAGTCAACTTACTTATGTGGTTATCTCAGACTGCCCTCTTATGGCAAAATTTTAAACTGTAAGTTTCCTTAGGCATTACAAAGGTTTTGCAAGTTTAGTTCCTGAAAAGTCTAGTCTTAAAAATTACTGAACAATAAGCAGGAAGAAGCCATTTCTGTCCCATACATGTCCTGTCACCAAATCATCCTGCCAGTTCCAAGCACTGCGAATGCCCTGGACAGTAGCTTGGCCAACACCTGGTACCCTTGTGTTTGCCCATCTTTCCTCCTCTGGCAGAAGTATGCCCAGCTGGTGCAGGTGTTCAGGAAGTTTCCTAACACACTTGTGCTTTACACACACATTTACACTGCTCTTCACATGCATTAGAAAAGGTCTGACTTCGTGGAAGCATGTCTTTCATGCAAGATGCCGGCCCTCGATGGTCTCCAAATCCAGACTGGAGGGTTTTCTCTAACCCAAGGCCAGCTGTGACAAAGCTTTGCTGAAGCCATAGGTAAGCTCTGCCAGGCGGCAGAAAGCTCCAGAAAACCAGGACGGCATAACTACTGGCCACCAAAATGATCCTAAGGGCCACCTCAGCTGGCTGCAGACAAACCTGTGGATATTGCAGGGCTCTGCACAACTGGAAATGAGCAAACATGCAGAGTAATCTGCAGCCTCCACCCCAGCTCTTCCATGCCGCTTCCAGCACTTTGGTCTTGGCTGCTCCTCCACAGGGAAGTCATCTTGCCCCACACACAGTGGCCTCTTCTGTGACTGAAGAARGACACATGCAAAGGAGTTTCTCACCATTTTAGAGCAAGGCTGGGGAGGAATTGACCTAATTTGTGCATTCATATCATCTATTCAATGTCCAAAGGCCTTAGAAACCAGCAGTCACTTACTTTAGATACGCAGTCTGCACAAATGGTAGAAAGAGGACTGGAGAGACGCTTTCACTGACCCCTAAGCCGTCACGGTCCTCACTGCCGTGACTGTGTGGACGCTTGGAGCCTTGCTGGCCTGACACTGACCACGTTCAGCTGTGACTCTTGCCCAATGCTCCCAGCAGGGACGGGACATTGCAGCATGCCCGAGGTCTTCCCCATCCACCCACTAGAGGACAGCAGGAGGGTGTCCAAAAGCCACAGCCCCGCAGGCACGGCGAGTGCATCCACCTGGGGACAAACACGTCCAAGTTAGCAGAAGGTAGTCTGTACACATGACAACTGATAGCTCAAGTGACATTTTGGTAGCAAGGTCTTCTTTGGGMGCGAAGCCAAAAAAAATCGCTCCAAAGTGTCAGCTTAAGCCGCTACTGCTTTTTTCTAGGAAGTAGTACCTTGGCTCTTCCGTGGCTGTGTGACAAGGAAAAACGCCAAGGATGTCACCTGTAGTGCACAGACCCTTGCCAAGTGCTCAAATTCCCAGGCAGAGAAAGCAAACTACAGTGGCAGCATTACTTCCTCTAACAGTGACCTGGAGAAAAACAGTCTTTCATTTCCAGCCATGCAGAGCCAGAGATTATTTAATCCTCAGATCTATTTACATTCTCCCTCTAGCACCAGTGTGTTTGAGGTACAGTGCTTTCCTGATTCCAACTACTCACAGGCTGGGGAAGGGACAAACATCACCTGCATGTGACTGTACAGTGCTCTGGAAGAAATTATTTCCTCTTACAGCTGATTTATAGATAGCGAGGCAGGTGGAGTATATGAACAGACACTTGACTCATCAACATTTTTTTCAGTCCCACGTGGCTCCCAGCTCTTAATGTGTGTTACCTTGCCTGAGTTATGAAGCCTCAATGTGATCTCTTTAATTTAGATGTTCAATCTGGAAAATCAATACCCTATGCTTTTGATTGCAAAACCAGGAATCACAGCTGGTTAATACATTACTATCCTGCACTGACTGAGAACRGAGCCCATTTATACTCACAAAACAGCAACTTCAAAACTTTTCTGTGCATTTGATGTGAGAAACAGTTATATTGTATGAATGTCAGCAAAACACCTTGCCTCGAAATTAGAAGAATACAAACAAGAAAGCACTGAGTTGCCAGAAGGCCAAAATTTAACACATGAAACCAGTGAGCAAGCAAAATAAATAAAGGTCTGGTTCCTTTCTAATTAGTAAGTGCCCCTGCTGTGAAACACTTTACCCCCAGGAGACACTCACTTACCTGCTAATTCAGTTTGGGAAATGGGGCTGCACTCCCTGCGGTGGCGGTGGCGTAAAAGAAGTCGTTTCTCTCCCTCAGCCATCTGCTTCCCTGTGTATAAAGTGGAGATGATCATTACTTTTACTGCCTTATCCCTCTTGGATGAAAAATTGCATGAGCCCGAGGACTTTCACAGGCTCCATTCCACTTGTACAGCGAATGTAACATCAAGGCTCTACGTTCCAGGCTGTCAGCTTCAGTCCATGAAGCCCAGACKCCAGGCCCCAAACAAGTGAACATGACACAGTAAAGGACGGCTGTGTCAGTGCCAGAGGATGCTCTGCATGGTCCTGTGCAGTTCCCTTTCCAGCTGTTTCCTCCAGAGCTACCATGAGTGGAGTTTGTTTCCTGGTTCTTGTCCTCAGGTGCCCTAACATCTAGCAAACCCTGATGTTTGCMCACAGGAACCAAACACAGTTTTGCCCCAGTCCTTGAGCCAGGCACCTTTCCCGGGCCATGACTGCCCCASACAACCTCTAAAAAAGCTTCCTGCTGCCCTTGGGATCTTTCAGGCTGAGGCACTGATTCCGTGTTTTAATTTTTCCCAGCTGTTTTCTCCTGCCATGTGGTTGCAGAGAGGCAGCATGATGTGTGTCTTCCCTCATCCCTGACAGAGCAGCTTGGAGCCTCTGACAGCCCTCTGTGGAGGACATGCAGCATCCCACACCTCCTGCTTCTTCACAGAGGGRGAGGAAGGTGTTCATGAGGTGTTCTGGGTAAAGCAAGTTTTCTAAAGAGTCTTTAACTCATCAAAACTATTAAAGATGTGACATAATTTCTTTGCCTACATAATTCCTTTATTCTCTTCCAAGGATAAAGTGGGTATGGGGCAGGCAGGAGAATCCCATGCAAAATTCCTAAATTGAGGCCAGGCCAATTCAGCGCAGTGCAATTACCACTTGCAGTGAGGATGAGGAGCTGTCTTCGCTCCAGATTAACCTGTCATCTGGACCAGCTAGGTCCAAACCTGCCTTTGCCCAGCCTCGCCCAGCAACACTTGGGTTTATTCAACTTTCTTACATGCTATATCTGAATTATGAGATGTTGTGAGAGTCCCAAATGAAAACACACCAGAAAGACATCATCCTTTCCCCATGAGGTAAGAGCAAAACCTCAGCTTAAGCTGTCCCAGAGAAGTCTGTACAAATCTGGCCCTGGGGCTTATGTACCAGGGAGTAGCAGAGGTAGCTATAGATCCTTAGAGGTTAGTTTATAACCAAATGAAAGCAAAGTCTGGATTTCATTAAAATGTTGGTCAGTGTTTAACAAAATAGCAAGGAAAAAAAAATCACAAGGTTTTTTTTCAGTTTTAAAAGTAGCTCTGTTAACTGAGGACATTGGTAAAGAATTGGCATTTTCTGCAGCCTCAGTGTCTGCCTGGTTTTCCCTACAATAGTCTGGATGTCTTCGCAAGTGCCCACAGACTCCAGCTGGTTTTACCTTTCATTTTAAATGAAAATTTGAAGCTCTTAACTGTGGCTGCCATCCCTCTGACCACAAACTACCTACAGTGGTCACCACTGGAAAGCCCCAGTGCTTATCACCAGTGACCATTTAAGGCCTGGACACTGCAATTTGCTGCAGAGCAACAGTCTGACAAGTCCATGTGATGTCCCTCATGTCATGCCCAGGACACCATCTATAACATCTGTAATTAGAGCTGGACATGCCTGTGGCATTGTGGTGAACATTATCAGCAACTTCCTTTTTGCTGCTACTTGCATGAGGTTGCTGCTGACATACCCAAGGAATTACGAGCCCAGCTGAGACGCAAGAGCAGTGTTTTTTTCTCCATCTTTCTTCCTACTTCCCTGTCTGTACTGATGTTTACTTCCCTTGCTTTGATTTGCTCTAAGTGCCTCAGTGGAGGGACCATCTGTTCATCCTGCCATTCACTTTCCCAGAGACATTGCTGAATCCCCTCTGGAGATGTACAAAACCCACCTGGGTGTGATGGTGTGAAATTTTCTCCAGGTGAACCTGCTTTAGCAGGGGGGGTTGGACTGTATGGTGTACAGAGGTCTCTTCCAATTTCAACCATTCTGTGATTCTGTGACAGTGCCTACAGCTGGATTTAGTGGCCAGGTAGGGTGGCTACTTGCTGGCAACATGGAACAAGGACAGGCACAATTTCATACCTCCTTACACCTAGTTCCTGCTAGTCTGGTCAGGCCAGCCTGGAGAGAGGCCCAGGTTTCTTGTRTTTGCCCCATGAGGAGAGGGACAGGGGTTGGCTCAGCCTGGAGGTGAGACAGCTTTGAGGGGACTTAACAGCAGACCCTAGTGAGAGAGGGTTATGGAGAGGGGGCCAGGCTGCTTKCAGCCTGCTGGGTGGATAGGAAGCAATGGGCATGAGGTGAAAGAGAAGAGTTTCAGACTGGTTAGAAGGACATATTCTTTCCCCATGAGGACACTCAGACAGTAGGATGGGTAGTCCAGCCTCTGTCCCTGGAAGTTTTCAAACTCAAACTGGATGAAATTCTGAGCAACCTGGTCTGAACTCACAGCTGTTCCTGCTTTGAGTGGGAGATTGGACCAGAGTACTCCTTAYGTGCTTACCAACATGAAGTAACCTGTGGTTCTGTAATCCCATGATGTTCTAGATGACAGAAGCGTGTACATATGCTGTATAACCCCTTCCCCATAAAGAATACACTTTTAAACCTACAGCAAAAGGATGTTTGAAGTAGGGTTCATGAGGTGTATAGGAGGACTTAGTTCATGTATTCCCATGTCAGTGTATGCTCCAAGGAGAGGCCTACCAAAAACACTAATTGTGGTGAAAAGTCTGGAAAGCCAGAAAAACAGATTTGAAATCTAATCAATGTTGAAAAATCAAAGYGGTTTCTAATGTCATGCCTGCCAAATGCCCTTTGCAACCAGCAGTGATTTCACCATCTTGTCCTCCCATTTTATTGCATTATGTTTTCACCTTTATTGCATAAAACTCTCGCTTATGTGGTGGGGCACAAAAAATCCCCAGACAGAGAAAGGATACAGGCAGTAAGTCCACAAGGTTATTGAGGATTTGAAGTAAACAAACAGAATTGCTTCAGGTTCTAGTACATTAAGGAGGTAGTTTTGCCCATATTAGGTGAAATATTTTCAGAACTGGACTTTCTACTGTTGTTTCTTAAAGACGCAACTTGAACTACTCACTGCTCACAAAGACCACAACTGAGTCTGCAGTGAGTCCTGGTTCCTGTTTATCTTGGCAGTAGAACCACAAAAATTACATCATCTCCTCCTCTACGTAAACTAGAGTGTCACATCTATTTTGCAATTGCAGCTTTTATGAAACTTTGCTGCAACAGCATTGGGTGACTGTGCAGTAAACTGTGCCAAATGTCAGCAGTGGATAACTAGAAGTTGTCATAATCCTAGGTTAGGCTCAAAAGTCAATGCTTTCTTTTTGTGTTTTTCCCTGTWAGCAACAAACAGTGAGAGAAAAGAGAAGCTTCCAAAAAAATTACAAAAAGTGAAACATAAATGTAAATTATTCTATTGTCATTATTATTAAAATAGCACCAGGACTGTATTTTTAAAAGAAAGTTGTTACAGGCAGGAAGAAGTGTGCCTTCATGTACAGAACAGTGGGAGCAGGCATTATTTCCAGGGGCTACCTTAGGGGCTGAGGGAGCAGCCCTGCTCAAAGATCTGGCCACCCTTCCCCTTTGCTCACCCCAAGGCTTGGGTGAGCAAAAAGAGGTTGACTTCTGAGCTCCTTCCTTGGGGAAGTCCAGCCTTCACTCTGCTTTCCTGGCCCCTCCCTGTCATCTGGGGAGTCAACTTCCACCCTCTGGAGAAAATATCATTATTTTTCCACCGTGTTTCCAGATGTTCATTTTTTTTTCTTCTTTATGTAAGGGCTTTCTGAAAGACACCTCAAGTTTTAGCAAGCCAGCTGACACCCASAAGATCTTTTTGGTATTTAACCCCATAAAGGTGAAGCAGCCCAAGAAGCGTGAAAACAAATCAAATTATACAATTCTTCTCCTATCCCCTGTGTTTGTATCATCCATTTCAATGCAGTCTCTTCACTGCAGGAACTTCCTTTTGCTGTGCATTTGTACCATGCATTAAGGAGCAGGATGCTGCTGTCGGTCTGTCGGTCTCTGTGGGAGACAAACGTGCACGTACATGGGCATGCACTAATCTTCCATTCAAACCTGTGAATGTTTCCAAATACACAAATACCATGGGAAAATGAATATATGAAGCATAAATCATCCTTCAAGACTAAGTTTGTAATTCTTGCAGATCCTCAAGCTCCCACTGGATTGAAGGGAAATATTGTAAGCACAAAAAGTACGYGCTGCTTTCTTTGCTGTGTGAGGCAGCTATTGGCTCTCCACCCTCAGTGTTTAGGCAGTAACAGAAGCGAAACAAAACAAAATGCAGCTTAAGCCCCTGCAAATGCACAAGAGGGTATTAAGAGCTGGGATGGAATAAACCRTGTTTTTCCTGTGCCCCTGTAAGCATTTATGGTCTTTGTTTCTCCCACAGAGGGGTTTCTCCTCCTGCAGAGGTAAGAGTTATCTCAGCCATGATATATATATATATATATTTATATCTGAATTTTTTTGAAAGTCTGGTGAAGTTTCTATACAAAACTGTATAATTGTTGGTTTTGGGAAAGCTGAAACTTTCCAAGCATTTTTTTCTTTTATTCCTTTTTTTTTTATCTTTTTTTTTTTTCTTTCTTGTACTGCAACTGCTTTTTCCTGCCTCAAAGGCCTTATTTTAATATGTATAAGGAGCAATGTCTGGCAGAAAATCAACTGATCACACTGCAAACATGTCACCGGGTTTCTCTTGGTTTATTTTAGGGGACAGTAGCTGTGTCAATGGCAGATCTCTTGCTGCCTAACACKGCAGGGTTTTTGTCTGACCCACTGTGGGAAGGGACATGGGGAACCAGAGGGCCCCCATTTTCACCGGAATCCATCCCTGATGGCAAATGTGTTACTTCCTGGCCTCTCCTTATCTCCATCATCCTCTTCATATGCTTATCTCACCATCTCCGAATTGGGGATAACTAACAGCAACCATTGAAACTGCTGCTCTATAGACAGGAAAACGACAACAAATTTTGGGTTTCCACGCAGCTATCAAAAAGCAACTGCTTTTACAGCAGAACTACCATTATTTTATGTGCCACTTTCACATTCTGGTTTTGTTTCCTCTCTGTAATTTAGTCAGCAGGGGAGAAACATATAAATTTCCTGTGCATGCTGCCAGCAGTTTTTGCCCTTGAAAGCTCAGATCAGCAGGTAGCAAGCTGGGGCTACTCGGGATCCACGCAAGAGCGGCAATATCAGCGCCGGGATCTGCAGGAAGCAGTGAAATCGTAGTAACTTGGTAGAGGTGTGATTTAGGAAATCTCTCGTTGTCACATACCTTAGAAGATAACAACTACAAAATC